AGTCCCAGCAGCTGTTGCCGGCTTCATCACTACCCTTAGTGTCAATCTCACTGAGGAACAGCAGAACCAGCTTCAGAGCAAGTTGAAAAGGCCGCCAATGGCGACGGACGAGGAAGCCAAGAGGCGCAAGACTGAGGCCAGTGAGGTCCAGACATGTGGGTAACACCACTCAGATGCTTGGGCCTTCCTTTCAACCACATGAGGCGCAGCTTGCATGTTGTGCTCAACATGAAGGGGTTTGTACATCCGATTGTGGGGTTTTGCGCAATCACTTCTCACCTTTGGACGCTCCAGGCTCAAGTCTGGGCTCTCCGCGGGGACAGGACGGCTATGGGCCAGAGGCGTCGACCTTCTCTCAAGGTTTTTGGGGCGGAATCCCGCCCCGTGCACCGGATCCAAGTGGCAACGGAGAGGCACTGAGCTCTTCTACTTCAGAGCGGGTCCTCAGGGACACTGCTTCTTTCAGGACCTCTCCCTCGCCACCCTTGGCTCAGGTGTTTTTGAACGCCGTGGGACGGGCCGGCCACACCATGGCCAACAGGTTTTGGCGGATCTCCGTCGAACGCAAAACATCGTGCAGAAACACCTCTGTCTTCGTGGGGACATCCGGCCTCCACTGGCCAACGTCTATGTGATCTCACAAGTCCTTACGACCACTTTGATGAATCCCGATACTCAGCACGGGCCTGGGGTCACACGCATCAGGCGGTCAGGGCCTGTCTCTCACTCAGAACAGCAAACAGCAGGCTCAGCTTCTGAACAACCTTCAGGACTTGCGCAGCATTTGGGACCACTTTCAACCTGGTGACCAAGCGGATGTTGCTGACTTTGTGGGGTACTTGAGGGAACAGGCGGACTCCCCTTTCTTTGGTGGCAAGTTCTTCCAACCGGACCTTGCAAGGCCACCTTGAAACCAGGGACAGATGCCTTTGAACATCCTCTTCCCAGAGCGGGACACTCCAGTTACCCTTGACGAACTCATCAGTGCTTGGGCTGACGAAGCTGGAGGACAGTTCTTGTATGGGGCACCGGACGCCTTGGTCCTTCAACTCCAGCAGGTTGAAGGCACTTGGACCAAACACTCCAGGGGCTTAGACTTTGGGTTTGACATCAATCTTCCCTTTTCTGAAGATGGACAGCACGTTCATATGGCTGCATACCGTATAGTTGCTCTGGTCACACATCAGGGGATCGACCACCACACTGGGCACTACCAAGCCTTGCTGCTCATGGACAATGTGATGTGGCTGGCTGACGACGACCAGTACCCCACTCCTTTGAAGGACGTCTCAAATCCAGGCACTCCAGTACTACACCAACCGAGGCTGGAAAGCCACCACTAAGGCACTCCAGTACTACACCAACCGAGGCTGGAAAGCCTAACGCTGCTCATCCCACAGGGCAAGGAGGTACAACGGGGGGCTTCCTCACGCTGCACTCCGCCAAGCACCTCACACACCAGGCCAATGAGTTCACCCACGAGGGCCGCCACAGGTCTCCAGCGGCAAGGACTCATGATCTTCATCATTCAGATCTACCTCAAGACAGGTGAGACACTGCAATCCAACACCAACTCTCTCATCTTCAGCCAACTCATGGCCTTCCTGCAACATTTGGGAGCCCCGTTTATCATTGGTGGTGACTGGCAGAATGAGCCGGAAGCGTTGGCAACCACTGTCATCCAAAACAAGTTCAAGGCCAGCATCTTAGACACGGGAGACCCCACGACCTTGCATGGCAGCCACATTGACTTTCTCCTGGTGTCCAATGCTTTGATTGGCTCTGTCAAACTTGAAGCCTGCTGGGAGGTCCCATGGAGGCCGCATTGTGCACTCCAGCTTCTGCTGGACTGTGATCAACCAGCTCAGCCTGTCCTTCAGCTCCAACGGTTCCCGCCAATTTGACGCACCTTTCAGCTGCCCCACCAATGGACCAGCTTCCAAGAGGACGATGGCCCTTTCCACATCATGAACGACCTCATTACAGGCTTGGGCTCTGACATAGCCAGATGGGCCACCCAGACTGAGAAGCACATCACTCAGATGCTTCACAAGCCCACTCTTGGCAGAGGCTCTAACATTGCCTTGACCCAGGCTCCGCTCGTTGATGCTTCCACTTCCAGGAAATGGCTTCGAGGCGCAGTGGCTTACTGGGAGAAGTTGAATGTCCGCATCAATGTGGTCCACCACACTGGCCACAAAGGAGTCTTGCAAGACATTCACCACATGCTCCAGGATGTTCACCATTACTGCTCTGACGACTTTCCTGCAGAAGTTTTCCGCGCTCTGGTTGGCCAATGGCTTCGTGATCCCACCGCCGACCCAGCAGAGCTCAGGGCCCAGATTCTGGAACAAGAACACCTAGCGCAGAAGCAAGCTCTTCAGTCCACCAGCTTGGAGTTCCAAGAATGGCTGCAGAAGGCTCACCACAAAGGCCTTCGGGGACTTTTCAGAAGTTTGCGTGGCAACGACCCTTTCAGGACCTCCCTGCCCTTGAGCGGATGCAGGCCAGAGAAACTCAATGGGGAGACATTTGGACCCCTCAACTTGATCGAGTCCACATCAGGGGTTTCGACCAACTTCGTGACCTAGCTCAACAAGAAGCCTTGACTTGGAAGCCCATTGACTCTTCAGTCCTCCAGAAGCTTCTTCGTAGGCTACCCAACCAGGCGGCAGGTCCAGACGGCAGGTCCTAGAACATGCTCAGACACTTGCCATACCCTGCAGTCATGAGGCCGTTATCGCTGGCAGGTTGTTTCTGGACCGCTGCAGGCCCTCCAAGCATACCTTTTAGACTGCGACTTTGACCTCTCCAATGGCAAGTCATGGAAGCGCACGGGGTATGGAGGCATCCCTGACTGTGTCCTTAGCCTCACCGATTGCTGGCCTGAGCTATACTCCACAAGCTCCAGGAGGAATTTCGTTGGCAGCGTTTGCTACGTTTGACCAGGTATGAGGGTTGCCACGACTTGGAAAGGGCATTGGATTGGCAAGTCGGCCTTACGCTGCAAAACATGTCTGAGGAGCGCAACGGCCCTGCCCTCCGGGCCCTTCACCAGGGCACGCACCATGGCCAACAAGGACATTGCCCTTTGTGTGGGGAGGAGCTCACCTTCGTACACCTCCCTCTGGCAACGCCATTTTTGGCAAGGAAAGGTCAAAGACATTCCCGAGCAGTGGAAGCAGCGTTTGGAGGCTGGTACAGAGCCAGAGCTATGGCAGAGGGGTCTTGTGCAGTCCATCTTCTACATCAAAGAGGGCGGCATGGGCACTTTCCAGAACGAAGGCCTCTGGACAACGGAAGCAGCCTTTGACATCCCGGCTGCCGAGATGTCCGCCACAAGCGCTATGTGTTTGTCCTGCGCATGCACCAGGTCTTCTCCAAGCAGCGGGTTGCAGCACTCAAGGGCATTTGTCCTGGGCAGGCCACGAAGAGCAGGGCTCTCTTCTATGGATTGAAGCATCTTGCTCTTCACAGCAAGGAGAAAGTTCACGCGGCCATCTATGACCATGGGGTTTGGAAAGCTTGGCAACCGACCGCTGCCTATGAGGAGTACCCGGACCTCTACCAGGGACTTGATCCTGAGGGCTTCTGCCAAGTCCGGCCTTTGCTTTTTGGAAAGAAGGAGGTGGACTCCCAATGCCAACAGGAAGGCCTTTCAGGATGCGGATCACTTGGCCAAGGTCTTTGCCAGAGACTCTCGCAATGAAGAGATCCTCGACCTCCAAAAACACATCGACGAGGACACGAGAGATGTTTTGAGTGTCGCGGCTTCCAGGATGAACATCCTTTTGAAAGACAAGAGCCACTTCCTGCACCCGGAGAAGCCCCTTGACTCTCCTCACAAGGTGCCTTTGATTCAGCAGAAACGGGAGCTTCTTCACCAGTTTGAAACACGGCCTGATCTTGGAAGCCATTCATGGCATGCCTACAGGTCTGGCGTCCGGTGCGAGCAATGCAAGCTACGACTTCACTCCAAGAGCTTGGTGTCTGATCTGAAAGCGGCCATGGACTCCACTTGTGACATGGCTGCGCCGAAGACCCAAGGCCGCAAGACGCGGTTCCAAGTGATCGAGGAGCTCATAGCTGCTCAGGAGGGCATCCAGAGTGGTGTGCATCACCTGAAGCTAGACAAAGCGTACCTCAGGTGCACTGAATGTGCCAGTTACATCTTGGCCAGGTGCAAAGAAGACGCATTCAACAGCTTCGTTGGGGGCGCATGCCATGTTGGGCCCTTGGAGGCCTCCCTGTGGCAGGGACATCCTTCGCACACAATGTGCCGGAAGGGGTCGGTGGCCCGGTGCACACGGTGCAACGCGACCGGAAGGATCAGGGATGGGCAACTCGACCTCAACGACAAGCTCAACAAGAGATGCTCCTTTCAGCGGTCACAAGACATGCGGAGCTGCTTCACCTAGAGGCCGCAAAAAGGCGTGCAAAAAAAACATACATACATACATACATACATACATACATACATACATACATACATTGCATACATTGCATACATTGCATACATACATTACATACATTACATTACATTACATTACATTACATTACATTACATTACATACATACATACATACATACGCACACATACATACATACATACATACAGCATACATACATACATACATACATACATACTTACATACATACATACATACATCATTACATACATCATTACATACATCATTACATTACATTGCGTTACATTACATTACATTGCATTACATTACTTTGCATTACATTGCACTACATTACGCGCATTACATTACATTACATTACACTACGTTACATTACATTATATACATTACACATTACATTACATTACACTACACTACACTACATTACATTACATTACATATGTATACAATCAAGGCGTGCGTGGGTTAAGTGCATGCGTCAACCAAAGGTTTGATAGTGTAGACGCGGCAGGAGCGAGCTTGTATACTTATATAATGATGGTTGCAACTTGGAACCATGTGAAATCGAGACACCCGTCATTCCACATCTGTTTGCCAGAGCCATGCTGCACATCATCTTGCCTGCCAAAGCTCTAACGCACTGTTGAAGACAGAGCATGTTGGCTTCGGGAATTTGGATTGCGACTCAAGCATCCCAAAACCGTCAATTGGCCGGCGACGCCACTCACCCTCGTAGATCTCTGTTTGGTTGCGGAAAACCTGTGGCAAATGTATTTAAAAAAATCCTTAAAGAATCTATATAAGCAAATGGCCCCTGGTCCATGGCGAAGCCCATTCCGCAAGCATCCAGTGTAGGTGGATCCATCGGAGTGTTGCCTCAGAATCAGCTGCCATGATCCAACACTTTCACCACATAAGCACGCAGCAAGGAATCAGAAGGGGCCCTGACACTGTCTTCTCCTCTAAACCAGTAAGCCTGGCCAACACCACTGAATCAATCCCATCATCTCAAATCCGCCCGCGCCGAAGGTGCCGAGGCGTTTTTATAGGGCACGCGGTATACGTAAGCTAGCATGAGCAAGCCAATAGCTTTAGCTAGGGGGGGGGGCCATTTTCGCTCTAGAATCCTGTGTTTTTCACGTTTTTGGAACCGCCTTAAAATGCTGGAAGATGAAGTCGTGCTATTTTGAAGCCCCTGGTGATGCAAGAAATGCCATTTTCTTCCTTTGCATGATTTGAATCATCTGCGCGGTAAAGTGTAATTGGACTGAGGCCGGACATTTGGCTGAACTCCCCTAACGTGGCTCAACATAGCTTCCATATTGCCTAACATAGCTCTAGAAGTCACTATCTAACGGACGTGTCTGCGAGATAGGGACTTGAACGCAAAACATGGCCCAACGAGGGCTCAAAAGGGACTGAGATTGCCTTACATAGCCCTAGAAGTCACTATCTAAAGGACGTGTCTGCGAGATAGGGACTTGAACGCAAAACATGGCCCAACGAGGGCTCAAAAGGGACTGGAATAAAGCACTTCCCCCAACGTGACCGAACATAGCTTCCATATTGCCTACAAGCAGTTCCCGGGCAAGCCGGCGGCGGAAGTTTCCTATAAGAACAAATTGACCTATAGGAGTGTCCACGTTCTCTCCAACATTCGCGTCCTCCAGTCAAACGCGCGCGCCCCGGACTTTTGACCCACGGGATTCCACGTGTGTAAGGTGTGTGCCCCCTGCAGGATCAGCAGCTCACAACAGCGTACTGGGCTGTATCTTTGCCACGACAAGAGGGGTGTATGACGAGTGGTGTATGTTGAGTGGTGTTTGATGAGTGGTGTATGACGAGTGGTGTATGATGAGTGGTGTATGCTGAGTGGTGTATGATGAGTGGTGTATTGACCAGCAGTTGAATGTCCTGTCCTGCATAAATGCAACCAAAATACTATCAGTATGAACTGTGCCAAACCTGCATGCCGCGAGAGATGACTCAGCAGCGAGAGATGACTGAGTCGCGAGAGATGACTCAGCCGCGAGAGATGGCTATAGCGAGAGCTGACTCAGCAGCGAGAGATGACTCAGTCACGAGAGATGACTCACAGCAGCGAGAGCTGACTCAGCAGCGAGAGACGACTCCTCCGCGTACTACACTTGTACTACAAAGTGGCCAGTTCTCAGCTTCCAGCTCCACAGGTTGTTCCGCGTGCTAAAGTTGTACTAGAAAGTCGCCAGTCAGTTCTCATCTTCCAGCTCCCCAGATGCTCCGCGTACTGCAGTTGTACTACACATTCGCCAGTTCTCAGCTTCTAGCTGCACAGATTGCTCCGCGGACTAGAGTTGTACTACAAAGTCGCCAGTTCTCAGCTTCCAGCTCTACAGATTGCTCCGCGTAC